TGGGCCAGCCTACATTTCCCACAGGCACATGTATTTGCCTTCATTTTTTGCATAAAGGTTGCGGTGTGACCCATTCCTTGTGATGGGGATGGAGTTCCCCTATGTTGTGTTAGTGACCTTGACAGCCTCAGGTGATGTCAGGTTCACTACATATATGATGTGATACCTTGGGTCTATCCACACTTCCCATTTATCAATGATTTTCAATCATTTTGGAGGTGTTAAGTGGTAGTTTACCATGTACAGTTGTTGAAATGGCTGATTGGGCCACATTTTTTTTTTTTTGGTACCAGCTTTTCATACTTATCTTCCAGATTTCTCATGCAGACCTATTAACAAACTGGAGTCTACTTTAGGATGGGAGAAAATGTAACTTTTCAGCCCTTACAACTATAACTGTCTTGACATCTTTTCTCACAAAAAGGCATATTTTCTGAAAAAAATATGGTTGATGTATCTTATGCTGTATATAATTCAAAGGACTACTTTCTGTATACAATATTTTTTTTTTCCTAGTTAATTAAGAACTTTTGGTAAACATCTCTTTTCCTCCTTAATCATTTAGCAGAATCCAAGTTTTCAGATCTGCTTGTGCAAAGCATACTTTAGTGTAATTAGAAGACCAGCTGGGCTGCAGAGGCTGAAGTTATCTAAACTACATAAACAGCACCTACAGAGAGTTCATGTTCTGGATGTCACTGATATGGCTGTATCAATTTGAAACAAAGTCATGGATAAAAATAATTGATATTAGATATACAATCCCAATGTCAGATTTTGAAGCAAATCATTCTTTGACTGAACTTAGTTCAGTTCCTACTGAATCAAAAGAAGCTAGTGTCTCTGATAGAAAGAAATTACTTTTGTTTCCTGAATTACTTTATTTTATTATTATTATTTTTTTCATAAAAATATGAGCTTTTTTTGTTGTTTGTTTTCAAACATTAAAATGCCAGCCTGCTATGAATTCTTTGAAATCATGTTCTCTGATTTGACTGCTCACTTTGACACAATACTGACTTCATCCTTTGTCTACTGTGCTTCTTTCTCCCTTGCTCATGCTTCGTGATTAAAAATTCAAGGCAAACTGAGCCACAACATCTGTGTCTCACATGTTCTCACATGTTCATTACTTCTATGAGCTGTGCAGGATTTCTCTGTAGGATTTTGTTCACTAGATGTGTTTTTCAGTAGGGATTACAAAAAAACCTACTCATTTGAAGTTCCTATAAAAAATCAATTTCTTGCGATACATATTTTGACCCCTGTATTAAAAGGGTGCACAGTTCTCTTGGAGCCAAGCTTGTGGTTCAAGGCATATATCATACAATCTTATTGCAAACTTGGCAAGTGAATCAAGCAAAGAGATTAATGTACAGTGGCTGGACATGTAAGGTCTAGAAATCAGGCTTTAATCTACAGTTCCCCATATGACTTGGTGAAAAAGAAGTCATACTGCTGTGGTGCTGGCATTTCCGATGTTTGGAAAAACAGGGTCACTGTTCATCTTGAGTTGTTTTTACTTTTGAAGTTCATTAATTTCCTTGACACAGGCAGGTGGCTCAGTGAAACTAGGGTTATTTGGGAAATCTTCTGGGAGAGTGAAAACTGTACAGTTTATTCTACAGTGAAACCTTGTTTTGTCAAATTCCTCAGCTGCTTGTGCTTTAAGCTTGCAGACCTAGCTAAGCATTTGGGTGAATGCTTTATTGTTGCTAGCTCTCGTTCATCTCTAGCTGTGGGGTATCTTGTGGGCAGGCTTTGCTTGATAGTCGCCTCGTGTGAAAGGTTGGAGGGGGAAGGGGTTATGTGAGCAGATACACACTGCTCTGATTCTTTGCAATTGGCCCAAGGAAAGTCACCCTGGGAAGCAGGTCAAAAACATTTTTTTTTTTTTCTTTATGAGAAGAGAGACATGCATTTCTTATCGTAAAACTATTAAATGATTAAATGAATGAGTCTATTAAACCTGGGCTCCTCATTCCAAATCAAACTTGTTCTGGAAATAGGGTGAAAAAAAGAAAATATCTATGCTAGATTTGATTCTAATTGTAATATTATGCTATTTTCTTAATTCAGAAAATTATGAGTGATATATAGCAAGTGAGCTCACTATGGGACACAGTGAGTGATGAGGTTTTCCCTCCTTCTACAATGGACTTTCAAAATTGTTCAAGTGCACAAAAAGATAAGGGCACCTTTTATTTCTTATATGTCAGATGATACTCATGAGTGAACGTATTTTCAGTCATAATACTGATGAATGCATTTATTTACTTGTTTGCAAATTTATTAAATTAAGGATTCAGTGTCCCTGTACGTAGCCTCAAGTCAAGTTTCTCCTCACAGATTAATTTTCCCAGTCAGTTGTTTAACTTCAGCACTTTCCCTTAGTAATATATGTAATTTGGGGACAAGTAGGATTTAATTGGGTTTGTCTGTAACTTAACCAAAATTTGAACTCCTTTCTTCAACAACAAAGTATTCATTTCCCAACCCTGCTGTCCCCAGTTGCCTGGTTTACATTTTATCTCTGTTTACAGATAAACCAGAATGCTTTAACACAGGAAAGATAAAGTGAGGACATTCTATACTCATTATATTCTCAGTAGAGTCTACAGATAAATGCTTGTCATAAAAAGAAACCACTGCAATTCATTCTTAAAATCTGTACTGAGAGCCATACAGTTCCATTCTTGATGGGTTTTTCCTGAAATTTTTTTTATTGACATTGTCAATATTAATAGAATCCCTCAAGTACATGAGAGATTAAACGTAATAATTTTTTAATTCAGGAAAACAGAAAAACAAAAGGTCATCAAAAATTGTTGTAAAATTTGGAGTTCCTACCCTCTCTTTTCTTGATAATAGTTTCTATGTTTATATATCCATGAAATGCTTAAACCATATTGGTCCTGCTCCAGAAGACCACAGACATTAGAACAACCTAAAATGCACTTAATATTCAAGATAATCCTAGATACTTTACCAAGCCATGTCATTAAACATAACGTTTGGTGAAGTTTGTGATGGTATTCTGTAGGAACCCTGAGTTCTCCTTTCATTTAAAATTTAGTAAATTGAATGGAACATATTTCATGACAAGAAAAAGGAAAGACAGCTGAAATGAAGATTACACTATGTGTTTTGAATGGAAGCATACCTATCAAATTGAGACTTCACCAGTGAAGTACCCTATATTATATTTTGGTTATATGAATGATCTTTTTTTTTTTTGTTCTTTTCCTTGATGTCTGAATGTTTGGTTCTCTCCAGCTCCCATATTTTTTCCACTGAATTTTATTTTATCAAAGAAGTTGTGTTTTCTTCCCTCTTTTTGTCTCCTAAGTGTAACATTTATCTTGAATAATAGACAAGTTAAATACTCAGTTTTAAATAGAATGGATTTATAGATAGAAAATTAAATCCAACAGACTTAATGAATCCCTATATCACACAGGCTTCTGGTGTGAATAAGCAGTGCTGGGAAAGAGACAAACAAACAAACAAACAAAAACACAACTTCAACAACAAAAAACCCAACATTTAAAAAGTGTCTTACAGAAGGAAAAAGTCCTGCTTAATTGTCAGTTCCCACACCTCTATTGTTTGGTAAGGCAGAAATCATGAATCCAAAACATGCAAGGCAAAAAAAATTACTGAGAATTCAACTCATCAGAGTGTAAAGTGTAGGGGCTTTGATCCAGCAAAGCCCTGAAACACATGCTTGTCTTTAAGCTTATGCTTTCATCTGATTTAGTGAGAGCACTCTGTTATTCTACTTGCCAGGTTTTTTGGAAGATGTTTGTTGCATTTCTCTACACCACACAGGATTAAACCATAACTTAACGAACATGGTGTCCAGTCTGAAGCTATTGTTATTTTTCTGGAGAAAATGTCATAATGTGGCAGTAGAATTAATTTCTGACAGTCTTTGTTCTGAGAAGTTTGCTTACAACAAAAGGAACCCTTCTGTGGACAGACAATAGCTTGATGATTAGAGCACTCAGCTGAGGAGGAGAGGACCTAGGTTCAACTCACTGATCCAAACCAGACAGAGCAGGGAACTGAACCTGACTCTAGTGTCAGAGATTAGGGTGTTCCACTGGGATAACAGCAAGCCAGGTTCAGCCCCCTGCTCTGTCTGGTTTGGATCAGTGAGCTGAACCTCAGTCTCCCCCATCTCAGCTGTGTGCCCTCATCAGGAAGCTATTTGGCCGATGGAACGGGGTGTTTTGCTCTTACAAAAAAAAAAAAAAAAAGTTAATTATGCACCAGAATAAAATCCAAATTACCCAATCCTGACACTTTCCACATGATGGAATTGTTTTCTGGCCAGGCCGAGAGAGAGAGAGACTTTGTGGTCACACACTGAGGGAGCCAGAACCAATAAGATATAAAACCCCTTTGTCTCTGCAAATGCAGCTAAACGCAAAGAGATTCAGACACATTATCTACATGGCTTTGGCAGCAGCAGGAAAAACAAAACCACCAGAAGCATCCTCATGGAAAGCCAGAGCTGTCTCAGTGACCTACAGTTTTGTTTGGAGGAGAATGGTGGAGGAGGATTTATCTTCTATCAGCATCAGTGCAGTGGGGGTGTCTGTGTCAGAGCACAGGCTGTCTATGAGAGTTCACCTGAAACTTCAAGCGGCTATTTCCCCCACTGTTTTCTGTGCCTCTCTTCTCTCCCTTGGTTTTCTACCTGATTCTCTCTAATTTCTGTGCTTGTCTCCTCCTTTCACTGCCCTTTCTATATATTCACATCCTTCTGATTCCCTTAAATTCTGAACTTCTCATGCAAAGAAATTTGCTTAAAATTATTTTATACTTTTTTATTTTATTTTATTTTATTTTATTTTATTTTATTTTATTTTATTTTATTTTATTTTATTTTATTTTATTTTATTTTATTTCATTTTTTCATTTCATTTTATTATTTTTTTGTAATGGCACATGTGGTTGATCCCTGGCACAAATCCCTCTGTGGCTGTGCTCATATCAGCTGACAGAAATGGATGGGTTTATCTTGTCCTTGTAATCCACACACACATATCAAATTTCTTAATCTAATCCTAGGCATTTTTAAAAGTTTAAACATCTTTATTCTCCCTACCTTATCTTCTGCATTCCATTTCTAAACACACAGTAGAATTTCTTCCTTTTTTAAAAAAAAGAAAATAAATATTTTTTATGAGAATTTAGCATTTCAACCCTTTTATAGTCATCTATACAGGGTTTAATTACTGTAGTCAGATGAAGTTCATGGACACAACATCTTTATCAGTTAGAATTTGCAGTGCTGTATATCTCTAAGCATGGCATGTGGACCTCTGATTTTGAATTGAGTGCACTCATTCACTTGAGATGAAAAATTACCACTACTTACTACATCAATATTGGAGTACACACATTTATATTGAAGAAGTATTCACAGGAGAGTTAGAATGGAAATGTAGAGTGAATGAATTGTAATCAGAGACATTATTTCAGTTCCATTCACCCATAAGCAGGCACCTGCTGTTGCAAAATGAGTCTGGAAATCACGTTTGTCTTGTTTCCATCTGTCTGCATTTATGCAGCAGCAGATAGCAAGATGCCAGAGAACCCCTTTTTTATGTTGCAGTTGTTGTGTTGTCAACAAATGAGATTTCATAGTCTGCTCCAGAAATAAGACACACATGTTCCTATACTTGTGTACCCAAGCTCAATGTTACATCAGTTCCAGACAGTCCATATCATGTCAGCCTGTGAATAAAATGGGGTCATTTTTTTTTTCCAGAACAATTCCCTCTGTTGGAGAGTACATCTCTGTATCTTTGTCCCACAGTTAGTAAGCCTGAGAAGGTTTTCAGTTTTCAATACTCTCTCTTTTCAGCCTTATTGGATATTACTTGCTAATACTAAATGACTGACTATGGGCAACATGATTATCATTGTGCTAAAGGTTGTAGAGTGGGCTTCTGCACAAAATGTAATGAAATCCAGGCCTTGACAAGGCTGCAGCTAGGTTCCCAAGCAAATCTAGGATGTGCAGTACACAAGGGAAACAGACCACACTGTACACAACGAAACTAGCGTACAGTGTAGCGGTTCAGTGAGGAAACCGTCCTCATAATCCATAATGGAATGCTATCATGTAATTGGATCTCCATGGTGTAAGATGACCCAAGGCACTTTGTAATCAAACCAAACGCCGCTAACTATTTTACATGAAGTCAGCTGCATTGCATCCCTCCTGGCAGACACTTTAGAACCATAATTACATTCATCTCCATATTTAATTTACTCCATTGTGCTTCTGTCATTGCAAGATCTTTTCTACCAAGCACTATGTGTTCATTTCTTCAATGCTTACTGTAAATGGCAAATTAAGCATGGCATCGGTTTTAACTCTGAATTGCCCTACTCTTGGTGGGATGAAGTCAAGCTCATAATTACTTGAATATTAGTTTATTGTGGTTTAACGGGGGACACAGTATTATATTTGGCTTGGGGAATCCATTCCAAACAGATGCCAACTTGCAAAGAAAGTTTGTTTGCAATCCTGCTAGAGGTAAAGAGCTCTCTGTCAGTCCTGGAGAAGTGAGCTGGGTAACAGTGAATTAGGAGTGGATCTTCATTTTTAAACTAAATGAACAGTCTAATTGTTAAGGTCTGAGCCTGCAATTTGTCATAGTATCCCCACTTCCTCCAGCAGGAATTAAGGGTGTTTCATTCTTGCATAATACCATACCTTGTAAAAGTTTCATACTGAGCAATTGTGAGGATGCATTTATGCTTTTGTATTAGTCATTTTACAGCTTTTTTATTTAGCAAAGGATGAGGCAGTGAGATTTGAAATGTTATTTGTAGAGGAAGTCTGCCATGTTTAATGGAGAGTATCCAGGAAAGTAAAAACTGCCAATCTCAAATTAAATACTACATGAGAAAATTCATAGATTTTTGTGATGCCAGGTTTCCAAGGACTGTTTCATTCCATAGTGTTCAAGTAATACTTTAGTGGTTCTTGCTGACTCTTGTTTCACTTCAGTTACTTCCAGAATTTCCATTTTATAAACCTATTTTAATCACTGCTGTAAAAAAAAAAATAATTCTGAGTTAAAATTTATTATATAATTAATGATCCAAGAAATAGCCATCCCTGCCTCTCCTTATTCCCAGCTCCCCTCTGTGTTTGCAATCCAATTTTTAATTCTTTTATCTGCAATTTATGGAAGTGAGGGAGAAAAATAATCAAATAATTGATGAAAAATTTACTTCTAATTCAAGTTCAGTTATTGTAGGTTTCTGTATAAGCAAAATCTAGCATGGGTGAGATTCTGATAGTTCACCTGACTGCTTGCAATCTATCTAGATCTTCTGCCTCCTTTCTGTTACCTCCTTCCCTGTCTCCTTTTACAACAATATGTTTTGTTCCCCTGTAGCAGTGTTAAATGGTGATAATTGGTGGTTCTGTCACTGCTTTCATCTCCAGGGTAGAGACACACCAGATCACTGCATCTTTAGGACTTCCCACTTGTTAGCCACAGGTAGGGTTGCTCTTTATCATGTCTACAATTGGATTAAAAAAAAAAAAAAAGGCAACAAAGCAGTGTTTCAGAGGTGCACCTATCATGTATGTATGATACATGATAGTATGTATCATGTATACATGATACATGATGTATCATGAAGTATACTTTGAGGTGTTGAATGGTGTCTTTAAGGACTGCTGTCTTTTACATCTCCATCTACCTCATGTTATGACAGAATAAGGACTGCAGAGTAGCATGAAAGCTTTGCTTTCCTCTGAACACCTGGTACCAAACTGTGGGAAGGGACTCTTCAAAAATAGCTCTCATAAAACTGTGCTTCTCGGCTGACTGAATTTTAACTTAGCTCTGAATTTCCTTCATCTTTTTGCTTTAATGACCGTAGCTTTAATTTTACTTTAATGTTCTTAGCATCAGAATAGAGAGCTTTCTAGTGGCATTAGTTGAGAATGAATACTTTGGGAATTTTTAGTTGATGTCTCCAATGATAACAGTCTCAGTAAGAGATATCCAGAAAGTTTTGTAGAAAAGACTGTTTTTCAGGCACATTTCCAAGGAACAGGCTGCTTAGATTAATTAAGTAATGTAAAAAACATCCCCACTAAGCAAGTCCCCATAGTTCAATTTTTCCAGCAGGAGACCAGAATCATGCACCTTATTTGTGAGGTCACTTCCATAATTGCAACAACATACTTCTTTTGTAATAGCTTTTCCTTTTTAATAGATATTTAAATAGAGGTAATTAAATATGGTTATTTATACCCATCTCCTGAGAGGTTAACATAGCAGCACCATGAAAATACAAGTAAATTAGAAGTAGTAAATTTCTGTTAAAAAAGATTGCATTTTGAATCCATGAGTAATATTGGTTGTTAATTGTTAAGACCCTCAGAGTGATAACGTGGAGATTCAAATGCCATACCATACTATACAAAACTGGATTTCAAAATATTTAAATTTAATAAGTTATAGTAGAAAGTGTTACTGCAGTCAGAAATACCATCTGTACATGTATATCTCAGGGACAGGTAGTCATGAAATATTACCATATTTGTAAGGCAAACTTTTCTGAAAATTGGATCCAGTTGTTTTTTGCTTCTTGACCTTTTTGGGTGCCCATTTCTAATCATGAAGCTCTTCTGTCTGTGTCCTAATCAATGGGTGATAGTCACGGTGCATTTGTGTCATGGTGCAAACACCATCCAAATACATTTTGTTTCTTACATGTACACTAGAACTGGATCCACATGGCTATGTTGCAGATCATGTTCTGGTGGCAAGGTGACAAGCATCTAAAGGTTAGGAGTTTACATTGGCTCAGGCTGAACATAAATGTTCATAATTTCAAATTCTCCTCAACATACTGAAATGTCTTTGGCCTCCTAAAGTGGCATAGATAGTGTATAGGTAGTGACTACTTAATAAAAACATCATCTGCTTTGTGTCCAGATAGGCAGCAAAGGAAGCAAGACCTTCTTATCGTTTGAGTTTTCAGACCTTTTTCCTGGACTTAGTCAAAACTAGGAAGGTAGAAGTCCACAAAAAATGTTTAAAAAGGCAAATAAAATCCACAGACCTTCTCAAGTTCTGCTTTGTATTTTGCATGGCATTAGAGAGAATTACAGCTCATCTCTTCCTGTTTTCACAATGACATCCCTGAACAGTTAGAAGCAAGAAATTTGCTTCCTAAATCCCTTTCAAACTCTTACAGAGGAACAATCAAATTAACAAGTGGTAGTCAAAAGTTAGTCATTTCATATTGTCTGTGTTATGCTATGACATTCTGATTTTCTTTTCCTTGTTTAATAATAATATTTAAAGAACTGAAATAAATGGAATGAGCTGCTTTTCCTGTCACCCTAGCCCAACTTTGTTATTCAGTTGCCTGCAAAAACTGTTTATAGGATCTGTTTCTGTTATGAACATTATCCCTTCTTTCCACAACATTTACCTGGAAAATAAGAGTAGCTTGATCCTAAGTGAACTTACAAAACAGACATACAGAATTAATCACAAGCACCTTTACATCATCTGAGAGCATAGGTTAGTGGTCTAGGCTTCCTCAGTAGGGAAGAAGAGATACATTTTGAGGGAGATCCTAACCTATCCTGTTCTAAGAAAAAGTCTAAGGAAGTTAGGATGAATGCCTTCTGAATGTGTTCCTTTATACTGAGCTTAGATAATGGTTATGGGTGAGACATCTCATTTCAATAGACATAAATTCAGCAAATCCCACTCACTGCACTTTGGTATGATATGAATGTCTGGGATTGTAGGGTAGGGCCCTGAAAGAGCATCCTTTGCTGACTCTTCTGTTTCCCCACCCCTGAAATTCAAACAGAAAGATCATTTTAAAATAGTAACAAAAATAAAGCTAATAAATAAACATGGAGAATTGAAATCTGATACCTGCGCTTTTCCAGAAATAATACTTCTTCCCTTTAAGACTTAGAGTTCTGTGGCTACAAAGCAACGGACCTGTAGCTCCCTTCCAGCTAACATCCATTCTGTCCTACTTTATTATTTTTGTGCTGGTCTGTTCAGGACACAAAAACACTGACCACAGTGCTACAGAAAAAAACACAATTGTATTCTTCCTCAAGACTTGCCATCAGCAAGATCTCTGGTCAGTCTTAAGGTTATAAGAATGGCCTTGTCTTGGCTCTCTGAAGCACAGGACAATTTAAGAAGAAATTAGAAGAAAGGCTAAGAGAAGCTGAATATATATAGAGAGGTGATATCTCATTGCTAGGCCAAAAGGATACATTTGGAAGAAAAAAAACACAAAATTTGGATAAGCACAGATATGGGAGAGTTTGGCTCTGAGTTTAACTTAATTCTTTTAATGTGTAAGAGTATTAAAGAAAAAAAAAACAAAAACAAAAAACCACCAACAACAAAAAAAACTAATACCTGAGGGATGTTAACAAGGAGAAATGATGATATCCTCAAATCCTGTAGGATAGAGAGAGTAAGAGGGAGATAATTACTGTTTGTGAGAGGTTACCCAGAGGTGCAGTAAGGGAAAAAACTGTAATGAGCCATAAAACCACTGACTCTGTTGAGGTCATGATTTTAGTCTCCAGCAGAGTTACAAATTTCAGTTCCCAGACTCATCTTTGGAAGCTTTTATTTTTTATTTTTTCCTTCTGGAACAGGGCTCAGGCATAGCTCAGGAAGTCCTCCATAAAATGAGGAGGACCCTGTGCATAACTAGACAAACAAAAACTTTTTGTGATTTATATAGGTCAACAGAAATAAAGTCCTGAACTTTACATATACATTTTTATAGTGTAATAGTCTAAGAAAAAGTATTTTTCCTGCATTTTCTGCTATCCAAGCATAACCATTAGCACTGACAAATCTTGTTAAATTCAGTTTTTACTTATACCACTCTTACAGTACAGTCCAAGCTGCAAAGGAAATATCAGTAGTTATGTTCATTCTGATTTCAGGCAGATCAAAACTTATTTATAATCTACAGAAATATTTCAGTGTTTGAGCAGACTGCTAAGCCTGATTTTCATATAAACAAAGAGGAAATGAAAGGGGAATTTTAGATTTGGTAGTTAAAAGTTGCCATACTTTTAGTTACATGAGTGACCAACTCAAGAGAGTTTCCTCCATTGCAGGAAGATTAATGTAAACTCCCTTTTAAAATGAATAATCTTACCTATTGTATGAACATTTAAAAAAAAAAAAAAAAAGAACAATGTGTGTTTCTTGCTGTAACTTCAGATGTTCAGTATAATATATTCTTCCAAGATTGATAGTAACAGATTATTATCAACCAAGCAGGAAGCTCCAACTTCAGAAGGTTTACAGGTACCTATCCACCAATTAACTCTAAAAATCTATTATTCATATGAATGTAAGATAGATTTATACAGACATGTATATATAAATATGAGGTATATAATAATATAATGAAGATTCTTTGATTGCCTTTATGCTGTAGTTGAAATAAGGTGCTTGTGCATTCTCTCCATTTGTGGTATGCATTTGTTGGTCTAAGGTTTACTCTGAGTAAAACTATCCTTAAAGCAAACACTCAATTCTATGCTACATCTCTGAACCTGTAGGGCAACTTCATGTGGTTTCAACTTCAACACTTTGACAACAAATATTATTTATGTAAGCTGTGAAATCCACACAGGACAAGCAGCTGCACAAGAAAAATTTGTAACACTTAAACCATAGTAAGAAACATAAGGCTCCCATAACAAACTATGCTTTCCCTTTCTCTATTTAGTCCACTAAGAGTGAATTATTCTTTATAATCAAGCTAAAGCTCCCCTAGTCTTGCCATTTCACCTGCAAGTTTGTTGAAAATTAAAGCTCAGCATGAAGCCTCCAGAGAATTATTCTGAGTTAATAACACCTGCAAAGAACAGAGATTTCACTGTGAGGTAAATTGCTGTGTGATTGCCCACACATCAGCAAAAATTATAATTGGGAGAAACTGAATATTTTCTCTGTATTTAACTGGTGAGGATTTTGTGGGGTGTCATTTTACGTTAAATAGTAGAGTTATAATTTGGAATGTTTCACAGCAACAGATAATGTTTGTTTTAACAGCAAGATTTCTTTTCTATGAGAAGATTTCTGTTACTGTCGGCTGCTATTTCAACTTTATGCAAAGCACATTTAGAAACCTGTCTTAATCTTAGGGAAAATTATCAGAGATCAGCTTTAAACTGTGTGTTTTTTTCCCCCTGTGATTTCTTGTAAATTGAAAAGTTAATTCTTTCTCCTACCTAACTGTACCTCATAAATATTAAGCTAAATAATGATTTTAATCTCTACATCTGTAGCATATGTACACACAGCAGCTCCCTGGATAGCAATGGAAACTACCCAAAGCAAACTTTTTTGTTTCTTACAGATGATTCAGGAATACACTAATAACTGACATGAAAAAGTCAGATGGTGTTCCTAAATCAAATTGGATATTAACATTATCATATATCCCCAAAAGGAAAGAGAAACAAAGAAAAAGTCAAATTATCTTGTCTCCATATTGTCCTGCATTCTTATACACTGAGGTATTACTGTCTGCAGTTTCCAAGAGCCCTCTATCAATTCACAACGCATGTTTGGAGTAGGATTCAGGCTTCTGTTTTATGACAGTGACAACCCCAGCAAGAAATGGATGAAGCTTGTATCACTCACGACAGTTCTACATGGGCAGCTAATTTTTGCCTGCGCTTTGAAGAGAACCAGCTCTGGTCCTCCGACAGAGAATCTGTGCTGGCAAGATGTAGTGCTGAACTCAATAGATTACTTAGAGACTTAGTTGCTTTATTCAGGCACATTGCCATGCAGCATGGCTGGACGTGCCTTCTGGATTGGAGCAGTTTGGGCTCTGCCTGTTCATCTCTGGGTGGAAGGGTTTTTGTGTCTTTCAAAGTTACAGGGTTTCATTTAAATCACAGTGCACAACATAGTTTGAGCCTTACTTACTAGAAAATTCTTTGTTCTAAAAGAATATACTTCTGAATTTTGTACTGAATACTGCCAGGAGTTTGTAGGTACACTCCTCTGTCCCTCCCTATTAATCTCCTGCCACCTTTATCACTTATGCAGCTGACAGAGATAGCTCAAGAGCTTGTCTCACTGAACTCAAATTTAGGACTGTAATCATAGCAATGTCTTTGTGCATGTGTTTTTGTTTTGGTTGGTTATTTTTGTCCTTTTTTACTCCAGTTGTAGCAGAAAAAAACAACAACAAAAAAAAAACAGAAACAAACAAAAACACCAACAAACAAGAAAACAATATAAAACAAACAAAAAACACCAAAACCCTGGTTAAAGACTAGAGGAAGAGGAACATTCCTAGGAGAATGACATCTGGTTTCAGATGTGTACTCTTAGCGTAGTAGAACTTGCTTCACAGAATTCCTGTCATATGCCTTTCATAGTTACTCAATAAAATATCCCTGGTGCAGAAGGCTAACTCATAAGAGACAGGGAACTCATAAATTCATGAATGTGTTGGACAATAACATGTAGTGGGTGCTGCTGCTGATATTCAAAATAGCTGAGTTATCCTTACTGTAACACAGCTTAGGGCTAATATAACACAGGTTCATTTCCTTGTATCAACATGGGATGTATTAAAAAATAATTTGCTGGGCAAGATGAGGATTTTCAGGCACAGATAATTCTACTACCTGCTCCAGAAGCCACTGAGAAGTTTAACAAAATAACAAATACCTTTTGATTAACTTATCTTCCTTTCCCACAACCCTTCAGAGCATTTTCCTTTTTCACTTCCAACAAGAATTGTAGGTAAGTGGGCTTCCAGCACAGAATCACCTGTGAATGGTGGCCTCCAGCTTCAAGCTTGTGATGTCTGTGTCACTGCTCATGGATCATGCTAGAATTTATCTCAGCTGTTACAGGGCTAGGCGAAGACCTGGTGTATGGCTCAGGGCTATAGGGAAGAAGAGAGGAAGCAGGTGTGCTGTATAAGCATACCTCCATGTGTCAACAACCATTCTCTTGTCAGATGGATTTATCAGCTCCAGCTGCACTGCTCTAAGAGTGGATCTTTCAGTATATATTTATCTAATGTATTATGTGTATGAAATATGCTGTCAGTTTCTTTCAGATGAGAGTTTTGTAGCATAAGGAATGTAATTATATGAATGGTCTAGCATCACCATAGGTTTTCACAGTATGATCCAAAGAACCATCTAACAGCATCCTATTTTGCTAAGTACTGTATAGTTGTAATTAATCCCTAGAGAAAAGCCAAAGAAGAAATGAGTTGATTGCCATTTAAAATATCAGAAAAATAATACACTAAGAGAATGTGTGTTGAGAAAACCACTGGTAGTTCAGAGAAGCAAAGGTGGAAAAAGAAAAGGTGTTGTGCTGTGGGTTTCTAGTCTATGTTTCAAATGTTCTGTGTGATGGACAAACTTCTGCTGTTTCAAAGCTTCTCTTTTCAAAATGGGAAAACGTGGATAAAGCATCTTAAAAGGTAAGAATAATGCCCCATCTGAAAAATAGGACTCCAAGGTATACAAACCACTTTACTAGATGTAAGGGGATGTAAAGGGATGTTTTTCTATTCCTGCTCTATGATACAGATATATGCCTGAATTTAGGTGCTTTTCTATGAATTAGGTTCTAAATTTGCGCGCCATTTATGGGAGTTCTGTGTACATGAGTCACATCTATAACTTTGAAAGATTCTTGGAAGTTAAATGTCATAAAAATAGGAGACAATAAAAAAAAATCATCAAAAACAACAACAACAAATCACTGTTGTTTTTTTCTAGGTTGTCCTGGGGCCAAGAAGAATGAGTTCCTGACGAGTGTTTTGGATGCACTGTCCACAGATATGGTGCATGCAGTCTCTGATCCATCATTGTCTTCTAGCCGGTGGGTTTCAGATCCTTTTTTTTTTTTTTTTTTTTTTGTCTTTAAAAGGGCTCTGGCAGTGGTGAATGAATTGTTAAAAACTTTGAGAAGTAATTCTTCTCCTGCCTTCACAAAGGGTAAATTTCCAAGAATCTATCTGTCTAGGATAGTTTACTTCAAATTTACCGCTGTGGAATATGTCCACTAAACAGAGATACACCTGATGGCTGAGTTCTCATCATCATCAGAACTTAAATTTATCTGTAGCTTCTGGTGCAATGGTGCCTTGGTCTTTCTTTTTCTTGTCAGCCTTTGCTTGATGAATATGTGCTGCCTTCCTGATTTATGTTTTGCCTACTTGCTACTAAAACAAATAAATGCTTTCAACACCCATAATTAAAAATACATAATTAAAAACACATAAGTGTTGGCAAACTTTGGGCATCTGCAGGTCAGGTGCTTACTACCTGAAAGGAGGGGGCATTTATTATTATAGCTCACCCTGTAATTCAGTACATTTTGGTGTTTTATCTGAAAGCATCCATCATGGGTTGTAATTGAGTCTAGGTATTTGGTGATGTTGACTGTTGACATACTTCAGTTATGTAGATTATGTGTTTTCATGTTCCCACCATGTCTGTCTTTCATTTATTTCTCTCTTCAGTTTTCTTTGTTTAAGGAAATGAAAGGAGAAGGCGCAATGTTCTGAGAACTGTGCTGACCTCAATACAGCTTAAGAGAATTAACTAAAAGGAGATTATAGCCCTTTGGGTAAAATTTAGCATGCAGTTGGCCAAACTGAAAAGAGAAATATTCACTGCAAGAAACTAGTAGCCAAAAGCAGAGAGGCTCATGTAGCAAAACATCTAACAATGCTTTAACTATTCAGAAGCAAAGGAATAAACCGAGGTTTCAGTATTAGAATAAAGACTTAACACCTATTTTCTGTTTCAGGGTTTCAGAACCTGATCCAAATCACACTCTGGAAGAGAGAGTAGTCCACTGGTATTTCAAACAACTAGATAAAAATTCCAGTGGTGACATTGGAAAGAAAGAAATTAAGCCTTTCAAAAGGTTCCTAAGAAAGAAATCAAAACCTAAAAAATGTGTGAAGAAGTTTGTGGAATACTGTGATATGAACAATGATAAGTCCTTGTCAGTTCAAGAATTAATGGGTTGCCTGGGAGTAACAAAAGAAGAAGGTAAAGCAGAAACAAAGAAACGCCATAGTAAGAACCTTTTATATCTTTTTGTCTAGATTTTTCAACCCATAGCTTTTGTTTAGGGCAGATGACAGGAAAGCAGCTTCTGGGTATGCAAATTATCTCTTTGTTCTGAGAGAAACAAAAGCTTTTCAGCCCAGTAGATGCTTGTTTGTTGGAAATATGCTTCTGCATTTAGAGCAGGAAACCTGAGGATACAATGCCATTGACATGACACCATATCATCACTGAAAAGCCTGTTCAATGTCATTATTGTAATATGTTCTGAATGAGTGCAAGTATCACACTCGTACTTTCCTGGATTCCTGCTGGGAGGAAAAAACGTTGTTGAGCTTTCTAATGACTTATTTCTCAAATGTGGTTTAGAGATGATGTGAGGAATGTGGTCATCTACCAAACAGGTGGGACAATTGTCAGTTACTTGCTGCAAAACTGATAGAAAGAGGAACAATTAATTACAGTGTATAATGGTCCTTGCAGAATTCAGTCACACAATTCCTGAAAACAAAGAAGAATCTAAAATACTTTGTAAACAATAGAAGAACATATACAGTAACTCCATACTGTAAGAAGCTGTAGAAAATTAATGTGGGCAAATTGTTCTGTTTGCTTTGGACACTAAAATGTAGCCAGGAGAGTAAAATAAAAGAGCCAAAGGAAATGAAGAGCATGACAGGTGGGAAATGGTTATATTCAAGTCTAGAAAGGTTATGTTGCAGAAAGGCGGAACAGCTCTATGTTGCACTAATAAATTGTTCATGTCTCATGGAAATGGATCTCTCAAAACAAACATGAAATCAAGATTTTTTTTCTGATATTTTGTGGACTTAATAATAATACCTTGCAATTTTCACTTATGCAAAGGTAAAATACTGTATATGAAGGTGGCTGAATATTGTTGTCTTTATGCTAGAAAAGTGGAAAAAATAAATGTAACACTTTCTTTTTCATTTAGACTATTTGGTAATCCAGTGTCTTAAAATGGAGGCCACTATAGTCACTTCATATTTTAACATCCACCTCAAAACAATTCTATCCTGCCATAGCCAGCACTCTTCGCTTTTATACTAGGTGAAATTGGGTCTGACATCATTGTAACTGAGATTGACAAAACCAAGATGCTAAGTTCTGCCCTAGCCTCCCAAGTTTGCTTGTGAAGTTGAATGAATCAGCAGACTGATATAACTGGTTTACTTTTATCAATTTTTATTTTTATTATTTCTCTCTTCTTTTAGAGGATATCTTGGATTTTGACACTAAGCAGAAACTTAAAAGCCAGCAGCAATAATCTTGCTGTTTTACAGATTAAATGTGAACAACATATTTGGCTGCTAGACCTGTTTCTGTGCAATATCTTTAAGTAAACTGAATACTTCCAGACAGTCTTTGCTTTTACATGCTTCTTTCCCACAAGTATAGTAGGCTATATTTACCCCTAAAGATTTAATAAGTTTGAAATACTCAATACTGAGTAGGTGCAGTCTGCAAATGCCATGTATTAGCTGGCCAGAAAAGCTGTCATTCAGCATTCATATGAAAGAAGCAATGCTGGTACTGAGGAAAGGAGGGAAAAAGAAAAAAAAAAAAAAAAAAAAAAGATGTTTCAATTAAAGATTTTTTTTTTTTAAACTGCAGTTACCCTGCTCTAAAAATTGCTTTTTTTTTTATCAGTTCTTAGGATGCTACATATAACTTGCAAGTCATATTTATGATGTTTTATTTCTTTTAGCTGCTCCTAAAACCAACACTGAGAGCACTTCACCTAGCAGGCAGGTGAGTACTGAGGAGAGCAAAATCTCTATTTCTGTTATCATTGCAGCTTCAGAATGCATTAGTCTGCTATTCTACACGAAAACACAGATCAGTGTCCTAATTAACAAATCTTGGTTTTGTATTTATCTAAGAAAAGTCATTCAGTCAACTACAGGTGCAGAGAAAATGTACCAAAATGCAAAGTAGAATAGGGCTGCCTGTGGATGTTCCTAGTAAAGTGTAAACTGACATCCAGGCTAGTGATAATTTGATGACTGTAACTGAGCCTTCACATGTCTTCTGCATTCCTGAATGACAGCATTCCCATACACTTTTAAAAAAGTGTCCTGCATTATCTTCATTTACCTTTTGCTTTAACTGAATTCTGTTAACCTTCCTATGTCATACTATAGACGCAAATTTACAGTGATTGAAATTACTCTTTGTGCAACACGCCATGTATTTCCCATACCCTGTGAAAATCTATATATTCTGTGAACACCACTGAATTGCTCTGTGGTGGTTTTAGATACCTTTAAAGATCTTAGTAGAAAGAAAAGAGCTGTCATTTTGAAATGCCTTTGCTGACTCTGTAAAATGATGCTAGAGAACATAGGATTTGCATCAGTCTGATAATGTATGCTAAAACTAAAATTGGTTTGGTCTGTGGAATGATTGCAACAAATAAAATGTCAAGTGCCCTGACAACATAATCCATGATCTGTTTTTGCATCAATTTTCTATAAAGACTCTACCTTGCCCTTCTGAATAACACCAGTGTATTTCACTCATAGAGTTTTGGTTACACATGGCATTCAGAGCTAAAAAGGCACAAAAGTAGAATTTTTAAATCAAGGTAAGTTAGACATTGACAAAGAGAGGCTCAAATGGAAGATAAGGAAGAAAGTTAAAAAACAAAACTGACAAAAAACATCTTCATATATCTTTATTTCTATTTTTGTTACAATTAATCCCTCTTCCGGACAACATGGGCACAACTTTGTGACACTTTTACATGTGTCTGAAGAAAGACTTGTGAATCTGCCAGTTATTTTAATAATTTAGTAAGATAATCAACTTCTTACTGTTCTTGCCTCACTTTTGTATTCTTTAGAGAAATTAAATGG